ATCTGAGGTTTGATTTGGTATATCGTTCCAGTGTTCGAAATCGGTCAGCGATCCATAGACCAAATTCATAACATTATCAAAATCTCCACGCATGGACCTCAGGCCATATTCTCTCCGATACAGCCATCTGTGAAGGCTCATTCTAAAAAGAACACTAGTTGTGTCCAATATCTTTGGGATGGGCAAAAAAGATAGACCTTAAGTACTTGTCTCAACCGGCTGGAAAAGCGTAGTCTTGTTTAGAAGTTTAATTTCTGAATAAGTCTTATTGCGATTGTTCGTTTGTAATAGTTTTTCTGGTCTTCTGCGATATTGCGTGTCTACAGTTTACTGGCTAACGGTTTATTTAGCAAACAATAAACAAATAATTTCAAGGATTATTGAGGAATTTATTATTTAGTTAATTTGTTTAATTTGTTGTTTTCACACAGCGAAACGAAGAGTGAAATCAGTATATTTTTCCTTGACAGTTAGTGGGCTGACAGCTGTTTTGGGGCCACTTCAGAAACAAGGTTGCCAATGCAATCGAAAGATCTTAAATACCCGACATGTTCATGTGCATGATACTGTGCAGTACACGTGCTGTGAAAAAATAAGGCCTGTCATATACGATTTTCAGTAACAATAATTGAGGATATACTAGTTTTACAACTTTTTACTCGGAACACGTCACTTCATAATATTTTCTAATTTTTTAATGTTTACTATGAGAACGAAGGAACATCAATCCTGCTATCATGGCACAATAAAGGGCTAAGTACATAAGAAGCTTGAAGTCATGGCTAGGCATATTAATGTCAAAATATAATGGAAAACGACGGCTGGATTTTAGTGCGGCTCTGTAATCCCTTTGTGAAATATCACAAAATATGCCTAGCCATGACTTCAAGCTTCTTATGTACTTTGCCCTTAAGAGGTAAAAATTTCGGAAGTATTTACTATTAAAATACAACCGAGAGTTGGTGCCCGGTTTGAGTCTATTTTCTTTCAGTTGCGGTTTAAGCTTTTGTACTTTTTGGAATTACCCCGAGCTCATATTCCGAATGGAATATTGCGATATGTTCAGCTCACCAGCCATTTTTCGGTCACTGCGACGTGGGTTTCGATCAAGTCGCTTCTTTACTTTTCGAACCATTTCTGCTGATATTGCTGTTTTCTTCCGCTCACTTAATTGACGTCTGGCTACGCTACCAGCATCACGGTAACGAGCGATGGTACGAGACACAAAAGATTTATTCACATTTAAATGCTGGAGTGCTCTAATGATAGCCACTTGCGGTTTTCCGGCCAAATATAAAGAAATCACACTATCACGCTTGAATTCCATCACGAATAACTTTTTTTCTGGAAAATTCTCACCAAAATGCTTTAGTACGCTTCTAAACAATATAATGAGCTGTCACTGGAATAATTTTAACAACTGTCAGATGAGTGGCTTAGAAATGACAACAGTCTGAAGTTAGTTGCAGTTTTTTTCATCTCACCTGACTGACAAAGACACGTATTAATCCGATTTTCAAAGCCTGAGGGCGACTCACGGTTACTATTTAAAAGAAGGAAAATGTCATCTGCGTATTGAAAAGTTTTGTATGACTCGGAGTCAGTGACATCCTCAAGGTCATTTACAAACAATATAAATAGAAGTTGACCTAATACCGACTCCTGCGGTATACCACTATAGGCCAAAACAGTATCTGACAGTTTTTTATAATTCCTAATTAATTTATTAAAGGAAAAATTGGTAGAATAACTTACATACTCCGCTCAAAACATGATATCTTAATACCTTCAGATGTCAACTCGAAAAAAGGCCGAGGAAAAATTGATCAAAATAATTGGGGAATATTTTTAGATATACAATGAAATCAGAGATTTCTTTCTTTCGTGACTTGTAGTGAAATTTGATGTTTTTGACGTCTTCCTTTCGAAAGGATGCTTTGTTGCACACAAAGCGCGGCTTTGGCCCTAAAATGTATATTTAAAATATATATAAATTCCAGACCTATAGGTAATATTAAGGCTCTTGGCGTCGTCTAAGACCTATAATATAATTTTATGAATGTTTTTACTTCAGGAGTTTTTAACCGTATTAAGAAAATGACCAAAAAACGCCCTTGTTGACTCTTTTGAGGGTTAAAGTTTTCGACTAAAATATTCCTCGCATTGTAACTTGTAACATTGCACGGAATCCGAGTAATCTGGATAAAAAATCTTTCAAATAGCCGATAAAGGATCTCCTTGTTATAATTGACTGCCACATTTAAAAATTGAGAATTTTGCAAAGACCCATATTTTTCATATTTTGTGCTCAATTCTTCTTGAAATTCTTCAATAGTTTAGCTTTAGTGCATATCAAATTACATATAGAATCCAGTATTACTCTCATAGAAGAAAAAACCGCGAAATTTCCTAAATTTCACGAACAAAATCACTATTTGTTCTATAAGGCGCCAAAAAATCGCCATGTCACCAAATCAAAAATGAAGTCGCAAAACACATTGAAAAATCGCCACGTTTGGTTAAAAAATGCCATGTCTGACAACCCTGCTTAAAGCGTATTCAGATAATACAGCCGTACAAAATTCAACGCAGCATTTTCGTATGATCCCCAATCCGACCAGTTTTGCCATGTAGCATTAATTGCAATCCATTCTGATACACTTTAAACAAGAAGAGGCATTGAAACGTATGACAATGTAAACATTAAACATGAATCCAACATTTTAGTAAGATCCCCAATTCGACCAATTTTTGTCATGTGGCATTACTTGTTAGTCATTCTGATACACTTTAATTAAGAAGATGCATTTAAACATATGACAACGTAAACAGTAAACATTGTAAACATCGTACTATATAAACAAAAAAATCTTAAATTTTTAAATTATATCAATAAACAACAGCAATGATAGGCCCAGCAACCACAAAAGATAAGTTATTAAAACTTATGTCCGAAAAGGAAAACTTGGAAATACAAATAAATGCCTACGGAAACGTTTTGGCAGAGGTATAAAGTTGTCTTTCCACTTAGCATCAAAGAAATGACTGTGCATTTTTTTCAATTATGGATTTATTTTATATATTTTTTTGTATCTTAGAATGATAATGTTGGCATGCATGGACCATTAGTCGATTCAGAAGGATTCCCACGCAATGATATTGATATTTATAAAGTTCGTCAGGCCAGGCAACAAATTATCTGTTTGCAAAACAATCACAAGACCCTAATGAAATCCATTGAGGAGCTAATGCACAAATTGCATGCCGAGACTAGACAAGAGGAACAGCAGAATTTAACCCAACAAACGTCCCAATTAAATATAAATGGCAGTTCCAGTGATAATTCGGAGGAAATGGACGCAACGGTAAATGGTTTGAGACCAGTAGTACCAATTGTGAAAATAACCCATGTTGACGCTGGATCGCCGGCAGAAAGAGCAGTAAGATAAATAACGATAATTGTGCCCTATTTTTATTCATGTTTGATCACTTTTCCAGGGTCTGAGAAGCCAGGATCGCATAGCCGAATTCGGTTCAGTCAATGCTGATAACTTTAATAAGCAGCTATCCACAATTGGAAGTATTGTTAGCCATAAACGCGACCAAAGAATACCATTAAAAGTTTTGCGAAATAATGAAATTCTGGATATAGTCTTAATACCACAACGATGGTCGGGCAATGGCTTGTTGGGCTGTAATATTGTTCTATCTGAATGAATCGTTTGCATGTAATAAACCATCATTATGTTATAAATGTATACAAAGGGAATTTAATAAATAAAAAAATATATATCTTTTTGGAAATGAATGAAGTGAAATTTGGTGAGATTTTTAGAATTTTATTCAATTCATAAATTGATTATGATCGGTGTGTAATATAGCCCAATAATTTGTACAAGAGTCCAGTATACGAGAGCGCCTTAAGAGATAAAAATTAACTATTACATTGCTGATAGTTTGCAAGTTCTTTCAAGCAGATTAAAAATCAAATAGTTTGTGATCGTTGTGAAAATAAGTATGTACATTGTGAAAAGAAGTATGTAAGTATATATGCCCAGCAAAAATTGCTCAGTAGCCTGTACTGAGCAAAACAAACAACATTTTCTAAAATTATGCGTTATTCGAATCAAATTGCAACTTCTGTATTGTACACTTAGTTTTTTAATGTTATAATAAAATGTTTATTATCTGTAAAATAATTAAAATATTTACTGAGTTTTTTCAAACTAAATTTTTCTGCAATATTTTAAGTAACTCAACTGTTGAAATTACTCTCCCTTTCCTCGCTCTGATTTACTGGAATTAATCCGAACAGGATAATTGTGCACTTTGGGCTTCAGATATTCGTTTTATATAGTAGGTTCCCAAACATTTTCTTGAATCAATATACTTTTTTTGAATATCCTTCATAAATTTTGTCGGAATTTATCCTAGGAGAAAAATATTGCACATTTTTTAAATATTCAAATTCTGTGCAGACCCTTATAAAATTTTAATTTAAACATGTAAATAAGCTCGAATGGGTCGAACTTTTAATATACTCTACCATTTGGAAAAAAATTGCAAATTGTAAAAATTCCGTTGAAAAGTGCCGCTAACTTCTTAAAAAATCGCGATTATCAGGTGTTACGTTTATATGGGTTTGAGATAATTCTGTTGAAAATGTAGCTCAAATCATTCAAATACCGGAAAATGGGAGGTGCCGTTATTTGGCGGCTTTACAAAGACATGGATCTGCTCAGATAGTATTCTGTAATAGGAAGTAGTGGTACAATGGTACAATAAGGAGTTAGGACAGCTTCGTATACAGCCCTGATGCTATGCCCCTTTCAGAACTACAGGAAAAAAGTTGTTTACATTTATTTGATTTTTTGTTCGTTCTTAAAATGAGTCAAATAGCGCGAAAGGTGAATGAAATGCCTGGATGTTCTCTCAAATATATGATCAAATCTGATTAATATCATTAATGTAAGCCCGGCAATTTAAGTTTCTTGCAATCATTGATTTTAAAAATATTTCGTTTTTATTTTTCAAAACAACAAATACATACACAAAATTTTGCAGAAGTCGGACACACTTAGAAAAAATTGTAATAAGCCGGTAGCTCTACCTTACCTTTTTACTTTACCATGGTAGTACCCATTGTGAACTCCAAATTTGAAATAATTCCTGTAAAAAGTGTAGCTAAAATTATTAAAATACCGAATAAAAGGTAGCCTTATATGGAGGTTATACGAAGACATGGACCTATATAAGCAATTTTCTGTCAGTGGAGGTGGTATTCATTGCTAATACCAAAATTGATACAATTCCGGTGAAAATATTACACAAATCAGCCAAATATCGAATATCGGGGGTACAGTCATTTGATTTGTAAGATAACAGCTGATTCATCAAAACAACTTTGGCGCAAATCTGAACAGTATATATTTAAATGCAGTTTATTTATATTTAGATTTTCATTACAAAAAAAAAAATTAATAGTAAAAACATAAACTATTTCCATCCTCAAAGATACCGTCTACAACAAATACTTATTATTCCAGCATCTCAAATTGATATAGGCATGGGCAAGGACAAATTTTAAGCTGGATTTGGCAGCTAAATGAAGAAAATAGCTCATCATCCGCTCTTAATTTATTTATTTTTAATCTTTACGTTTTATTTATCCATTTTTTGTTAAAAAATTTGACCCTTTTTTTTCTAAAAAATAGTTTGGTTAAATTTGTTTACAAAACAACATCTGATATTAGGTGTGTCTGGTTACCCTTAAATTTGTAACAATTGTTACAAATTGTTACTGGAAGTCGTCTGTTAACCCGAAAGTTCTGCAAAAGAGAGCAGTTGGAGAGAGAAATTTTGACAGTTCTTTAAGTGAGAGTTTGCAAATTCTTGCTGGACAAATTTTTTCTTGCAATCTCTTGCAACTCTTCTTGATCTCATTCATCGCCATTCAATCAGATGTTTCCTATTTTTGTTTATTTATTTTTTTGTGCTTTTAATTTGAAAATATTGTTTTGGAATTAGCAAGACTAATTGTTTTTGGAGAACAACTTTACAAAATGTGAAAAACGCAAATATTAATATATAATTAGAAAATAATAGACTATTTCCAATATTTTTAGACAAACGCCATTAGCAACAGGTTTTAAGGATTCCATCAAATCAATCTTCCTTTTATTGCTCATATTTTTATTTTATTGGCAATTTACTTTTTATTTATAAAACTTGTAGAATTGGTAGCGCTCCCTTTCTTTTAATTCTTTTAATGGGGCACAAATTGGTTTGTTTTGACAAATCAGCTGATTAGTTGCAAGCTTGTGCAGGAATGCCGTCTGTTTACTTTTCACATTTTCCTTGCAAAAGAGAATAAAACTACCTTACTCTCTCAGAAAGATGTTGCTGGACAATTCCTGCAGGAAAAGTAACCAGACACACCTATTACAATAATATGTGGTTTAGTTTAATCATGGTAGAAGAATTTAGGTAGACGCGTCGACACAGCTGCTGGGACAATGAACTGTCAACCCAATTTTGGAATTGAAAATGTTGAATAAAAAATTATATAAATTTGCAAAAATTTTTGAAAAACACGGATTATAATAACCTACGAATGATGTCGTATAAGAAAACATATAAAAATCTACTTATATTTGAAAAAACATTTAAATTTTTTTGACATATAAATGCTCCCAAGCGTTCATGCATCTACCTGTATTCTTCTGCCATGAGTTTAATATGTAATAAAATATCGTAATAAAATAGAAGAATACAGGTAGTCGCATCGGCACAGCTGCTGGGACAATTAACTATCAAACCGATTTTGGAATTGAAAAATATGAATGAACAATTTTTGGAAAATGCATAATTTAATAACTTCCGATTGACGTCGTATAAGAAAACATATAAAAATCTACTTATATTTAAAAAAAATATTTTAAGATTGTTGACACATCAATGTTCCCAAGCGTTGATGCATCTTCCTATATTCTTTTACCATGATATCGTGTCACTGCAACATCATGTATGCCAATGTGAAACGAACAGATTTAAACTTTTGGTTTCAATATAGAACAACAAAATAACTGGCATTAAAATCCAGTTTTTAAATTTTGTCATTTGTTTGACAACGAAACGATTTCTGTGTCAATGGAACGCTTTTCTATCTGATTGCTCAATTAATTTAAATCCCCCTTAAAATAACGAGCTTTTCTAACACACACGGACATTTCCCAAGTCACACTCACTGCCCGAATTAAAAATAATTGGCAACACTCTCCCTCTCACAGGACATATGTGTGTATTAGTTTTTCCACGTTCGTATTCTCTTTTTCCTTTGCACTTTGTCAGTTAGTATCCTCGTTGCCGTCGTCGTCATCAAGCTTTGTTAAAATTGGAAAGCGCGTGCAACAAACGTAAAAGAAATTCGCAACAAATCCTCAAGAAAAATGATGAAAAAAACTTAAAATATAATCTATCCTCTTAATAAAATGTGATGTAAAAGATATAAGGATACGTGGAGGAATTAAAATATCCGGGATTTCAAATTTCAAAATAGTGAATGTGAAATGAAAAAGGTGCATAAAATGTAAAAGAAAAAAATGAATGTTGCAAAGAGAAGCCAGTACCAAAGCAAGTGAAAAAATTATATCCTTTGTGGTCTTTACATAATGACTACTACTCTACACACATACAAATATAAATGCATACACACATATGTCAGTGTGCTTGCGTGTGCCCAACTAAACGATGATTTTTGCTGTTGCTTGCTATTCGCTGTGGATGGATGTGTGTTGGATGGACATTTTCTTCATACATATTTCCTGTAAAAGCGTCTGAGTTCCATTTCTCAGCTTGTGCATAACTGTGTGTATGTTTAGTGTGAAATGAGCCAAAACCAGACAGACAACTAAACAGACACAGTTTTAGTAAATTGCTTGTCGGAATACTTGTTATTAGCGGTAGCCGTAGTAGTAGAAATAGTACTCATGGCAGAATTGTGGGGCAATTGTAGGCATTTTGTCAACTGGAGTAAGCACATACACACATGCATGCATGTCGGCTATATATGTGTGTGTGTGCCTGTACATGAACGTGATGGCTTTCCTCTTTCCGTCTCCCCTTTTTGCAAGGAACAGGGTTCTTGGCCACTGTCAGTGTCATCATCATTATTACTTGGTTCGGTCTTCTTCTTTTTTCTTTTCTATTTTCGCAAAACAATGTCATTCGAATTAGTGTCACAATGATAAATATAAAATAATAATTTCTTTTCTTCCTTGAATTCCTTTCTGTACACTTCGTCTCTTGCCCTCCGCTTAATGAGTTGGAGAAAGGTTTTCACAAAGTTTTGTACCAATTAAAATTTAAGTTGGTGCCTACTTTTGTGCGTTTCATTGTAGGAATATTAATTATTTTGGTGGAATTGTTCGTTTTTTTAACGTTCACACATTGTGCATGTATGCGTGCTCTTGAGTGACTTCATTTCTTCTGGGACAGGGCTTTTCCAATTTAATTCTCTTTTTTGTTTATAACACATGGGTACCTTTCAAAATGGCACAACGTCTCTTGGACGAGTTCCAATCTTGAAGGTTACTCAAACACGAAAAGCAACTAAATATAGAATGTTAGCCATGGTTATGGATTTTTATTTACAAATAATGCGGAAAACAGATGAAAGTTTGGATCAGAATACACTCAGCCGAAGAAATATTCGTAGACAATAAACATTATAAGTTTTCTTTTATTATTTTTTGTTCCGTTGGCATTGTAGAATAATATAGGTAAGAGCAAGTGTTGTTGTAGAAGAAATCTAACGACAATCACATACAAATTTTACAAATGTTAATAAAACAAACAGTTTTTAATAAATTATTTCAAAAATGTATACATTTGGAATGTGAATTATTGAATTGCAGAAAATGCAGAACAAATATTCCTAAACTGCTTAATTTTAACGCTTTTATGTCCCTCTTCTCAATATACAAGGGATCGGTACGAGATCGAAGAAAGAGCAACATCCTTATGAAATTGAAATCACAATACAAATACAGGGTGAGATAAAAAACTGCAACAAAGTCAAATGTCATAATTTTTACATTTTTTTTAAATTGTATTCAATGAAAGCAAAAAATGTCGGAAATAGCATCAAATTTTAGAATAAATTTAGATTTGTTCGAATTGGTCACCTTTCACCAAACGGCCAATGAAACCGTCACACGCTGCCCGAATGTTGCTCTGCGGTATTTTGGCTCATTCCCGGCGAAGTGTTGGCTTGAGGTGATTGACACTTTGGTGTTTTTTAGTGCCAACCTGCTTTCCAAAATACTCCAGACACAATAGTCCAACGGATTGGTATCCGGAGATTTTGGTGGCCATTGTGCGCTGAAAATGAAGCGATGAACCTCATTTTGTAACCATTCTTGGGTGGCGCGTGCTGTGTGCGATGGTGCTGAGTCCTGTTGGAATGTCCAAATGTTTGCGTGCCCAGGGCTTTAATACACCCTCTAGAATATTTTCGCGATAATATTCGGCATTTATTCTGATGCCACGGTCGATTAATACGAGCGGAGAGCGACCATCGGCTGTTATGGCGGCCCACACTACCACCATGGCCGGCGCTTGAGTTCTGGTGGCCAACCGAAGGTGCACATTTTCAGCTGACCTCTTTGGCAAGTAAACACGATCATTTTGTTTGTTTACAAACTGCTGGACCACGAATGTTTTCTCTTCGGAGAAAACCAAATTAGGCATTCGGCATTTCACCACTTTCGAAGCAACTTTTTTTCTTTTTTTCTTTCTGTTGCGTTGTAAGTTTTTACACTTTTTGGAATTTCAATGGCTTTACCCGGAGCTCATTTTTCAATATTTGCCGAATGGAATATTGCGATATGTTTAGGTCACGCTGAACGCTACCAGTAACGAGCGATTGTACGAGGCACAAAAGATTTATTCAAATTGTGGTGGTGGTGTGGTTTTCCAGCCAAAAATAAAAAGTCATACTATCACGCTTGAATTCCATCACGAATAACTTTTTTTTTCTGGAAAATTCTTACCAAAATGCTTTTGTACGCATGTAAACAATATAATGGGCTGTCACTTGAATAATTTTAACAGCTTTCGAACAATTGGTTTAGAAATGACAGCAGCCTGAATTTGGTTGCAGTTTTTTCATCTCACCCTGTACATAAACAAACATCAGCTGAGCGGCATTTATATCCCCCTATGGGAGTATCTAAACATACAAGGTTTACCCACTGGATATATTAGACCAAGTGGGTAATCTTCAATAGTATAAATGCGCGTGTAGCCGACAAGAGTATGTAGAAGATTTATTAAAAACAAACAGCGCACTTTTGTAGATATACTTTAAGTTGATTATTTGCAATTTCACACAAAGGATATAGGAATCTCATGAAGTGATCATCCGCAAATCATTGGACTGTTGAAATTTTACCAACATCATTCTTTCATATTCATATCTTGTCTTTTTTTTTTCTTTTTTTAATGACTGGATTTGTAGTCCATTTGAACATTAACTTTCCCACCATGTTTATTGGTTACACTCGGCCGATTCACTGTACTATGTACTGCAAACATATGTATTTACATATGTACACACATAGATATACATATCCTTAAAGGTCTGATGACTGAGCAAATGTATTTTTTTTTTGTGTCAGATGTTCGGTTGCTTGGACTTGGCGGAGAGTGGCATTGGCATCAATTATTCAGTCATATCGCTGCGTACAAAATATTAAAACACATCGCCCAACATCTTGGCTTGCTTTTTGTGTTATTGTTGCTGTTGTGATTTTCAAAATATTTGCTCACATTCTGTTTTCTGTCATGTTGTTGTTTGTCGCTGATGTACAAAAGGACAGGAGCCGTTGTTGTAAAATTTATGCAGATGCTATACTGTGCCACATACAAATTAAATTTCAAACTTTGAACAATAATTTACTCCGTGAAAGAAGATATAAACAAAACAACAACAAACCAAAAAAAAAAAAACGCACACACACACATAAAATCACACTCATTCCTCAGAGAATGGGAAATTCAATTATTGATACACGCGATTCATAAATTGAATTATTCCTTTTTTGTGTGTGTTCGAAATATTTTTAAGGAAGTGATAAGATTTTTTATTAATAGACATACGCAAAGTATTCGGACAATTGGCAATAATTCAGTGTTTTGACAGTATATTCCGATTTTCTACAAAGTTTAAAAAATACAGGGTGAGATAAAACAAGTAAAAAAGCTGTAAGTTCGGCCGGGCCGAACTTTTAATACCCTCCACCATTTGGTACAAATTTGGCAATTTCCAAAAAATAAAATCCGCTAAAAATTCTGTTAAAATCTTAAAAATAACGAATGCTTATACGACGACGTGGGCCTGCATAGGCAACTTTTGTCATAAGTTATTACAATATTTAAATGCGAAACTTGAAGAAAAATCTGTTTATAATGTAGCTAAAATCATCAAAATACCGAATATGGGGGGTACCGTTATATGGGGGCTATATGAAGACGTGGACCTACATGGCTCATTTTTTGACTTAGGATGTAGCATCCATTACGAACTTCAAATGCTAAATTGGAAACAATTCCGGCGAATAATGTCGCTAAAATCATCAAAATACCGAATATCGGGAGGTTCCGTTATATGGGGGCTATATGATAACTTGGACCTACATGGCCCATTTACGAACTTAACCTGTCTACTGGCAAAATATACATGTGTGCAAAATTTTAGCCTTCTATCTCAATTTGTTCGAAAGATAGCGTGATTACAACAGACAGACAGACGGACAGACAGACATGGCTAAATCGTCTTAGAATTTTACGCTGACCAAGAATATATATACTTTTTTGGGTCTGACATGAGTATTTCGAGGAGTTACAAACGGAATGACAAAATTAATATACCCTCCATAGTATGGTGGAGGGTATAAAATGCAAAAAAGCCAAACGCCATAATTTTTACATTTTTTTAAAAGTTTATTGAATGAAAGCAAAAAATGTCGGAAATAGGATCAAATTTTAGAATGAGTTTAGATTTGTTCGAATTGGCCACCTAATACACCCTCCTGAATATTTTCGCGATAATAATCGGCATTTATTCTGATGCCATGGTCGATTAATACTGTTATGGCGATCCACACCATCGCCATGGCCGGCGCTTGGGTTTCTGGTGGTTGGCCAGGAAGATGCACATTTTCAGCTGACCTCTATGGCAAGTAAACACGATCATTTTGTTTGTTTACAAACTGCTGGACAACGAATGTTTTCTCATCGGAGAAAACCAAATTCGGCAGTTTACCACTTTCGGCCAAGCGAAAGTCTGAGTCTATTTTCTTTCCGTTGAGGTGTAAGTTCTTGCACTTTTCGGAATTTCAATGGCTTTACCCCGAGCTCATTTTTTCAATATTTGACGAATGGAATATTGCGATATGTTCAGCTCACGAGCCATTTTTCGGCCACTGCGACGCGGGTTTCGGTCATGTCGCTTCTTTACTTTTCGAACCATTTATGCTCATGTTGCTGTTTTCTTCCGTCCACTTCCTTGACGTCG